GTGCGTTGGTATGATAATGAAATACATGAGATGGAGGTTCTGTGAACACAAGTCAAAGTTCTGTGAATATAAATTCTGAAACTTATTATTATTATTATTATTTTCTTTTTGGGCTGGGTGGTGGTGTTAGCTTATGAAAAAATTTTAATGATTAGAGTTATTAGTTTTCAGTGGTTAGCTTGTAAATGGACAGTTTATTATTTAGTTTATGAACTGTATGAATAGCATGTAAAGGTAATCTCATTTGGCTTTTATGCTTGTTGATAGTGTTAAATGTTTGAATCATTGATATTCAATTATAGCTGGGTTGAGAATCAGTTGAATAAGAAATTGATGGGCTGTCTGCTGAGCGGGGCTTTGTGTCTTGAGTAATTTCTTTTAACCATTCTATATTTCACTTCAGTAATTCTTATGGTTGTGGTTTGATTGTCATTAGTTCCTGGAACTGAATAAATTACTTTAGTTCAATGTGAGAGAGGAGGGGTTGAGTTTTTTATTTTTTTTTAATAATTATTAGAAATTTCTTTAAGGTATTATCATTTTAATTAAAGAACAATGAAAGAGACATAAAAGAGGATAATGAGGATTATTGGAGTTGGGTTGGTTTGGAAACTGCAGGGAGTTAATTTTCTAGCATCCTGAACATTGCACCAAAAGGTGCTACCCTTGGCATTTGGTCTTTGTTATTAGATGAGCTCATCACATTGTTGAGTCAGTTCATCTGAGCTTTGTTATCCTTAGCGTTATCATTTGTAAATTTGCAGTTATGAAGAGAGATTACGTATTATGTTTACAAAAACTATTTTGTGTTCCTCTTACTTATCTGATTTATCTGGAAACAGTCCTTCTGGATGTCCTTTTGGGGAGGGATGCCACTTCTTGCATTATGTCCCTGGCGGCATTAAGGCTGTCACTCAGATGCTGGGCAGCAATCCAGCCCTTCCAGCAGCTGCTAGAAACCCTGTAGTCCCACCGTCTTTTCCAGATGAATCATCCCCTCTGGCCGTAAAAACTCGTTTATGCAACAGATACAGCTCAGCTGAGGGGTGCAAGTTTGGTGACAAATGCCATTTTGCACATGGTGAGTGGGAGCTCGGGAAGCCATCTGTTTCATCATATGAGGATCCTCGTGCTATGTCAGGAAGATATGCTGGCGACCGTTTGGAGCAAACTCCATCAAACCTTGGAGCTGCAGCCAGCTTTGGAGCCTCTGCCACAGCTAAAATCAGTGTTGATGCTTCTCTTGCAGGAGCGATCATTGGAAAAGGCGGGGTGAACTCAAAGCAAATATGCCGCTTGACAGGAGCCAAACTCGCTGTAAGAGATCATGAATCCGATGCTAACTTAAGGAACATTGAACTCGAGGGTACATTTGATCAGATCAAAGAGGCCAGTCAAATGGTACGTGAACTCATTGTTAATGTTAGTTCTTCTTTGGGACCACCCAAAAGGCATCCTGTGATGCCAGGTCAAGCTCCTGCTAGCAACTTCAAGACAAAGCTTTGTGAGAACTTTGCCAAAGGATCCTGTACTTTTGGAGAACGGTGCCACTTTGCACATGGAGAAGAAGAATTGCGCAAGCCAGGGGTATGAACTTTTTCGGTTCTCTTTCTTATTGTTCTCTTGTCCTTCGGTCTCGTGACGTCCTCAGTGCTGTCCGTCTTCTCAACATCAGTGAAATAGATAGATTAAGATCGTAATTTAAGATTTTTGGTTTTGATATGTCAATATTTCATTTCTGTTGGTGAAAATTATCACTTGTCTTTATGATTTGATTTACTTGTTTTGTTGCTCTCGTGTAAACTTTTGGAGGCTGCTTCGTTTTGCCCATGGTTTCATCCAGAGGCACTGACTCAAACTCTGTATTTGGTGCTATTAATAATTTGGAGCTTCACTGAATACATGGTGGCTAAAGGCTGTTGTCTTGCACTAATTTGCTAAATTTTATTCATAAATATGTTATAACTTGGTTAAAAAATTCACCTCCGTGTCCTTCCCTCTTCTGTTACCTGGCCTGGCCTGTTTACTCGATTCTTCAAGGCTACTTTTGTACTGGAGTCTGCATCATGTCGTTTCCTCCACGAGATAATTTCAGAGACCAGTGGCCCATATTCTTGGTATACGGCCGGCCCTAAAATGTTGGGGATTTTATGCCAATTTCAATTTGGAGCCTTATATTTTGAACCTCTTTGTATAGTGTTTTAGCTCCTGTTTGATGGAGATTTAGCTATTTTTTGAACCTTATTTTTCATAAAAATATACTTTCCAACAGTGATTTAACATCATTTAATCACATATTTTTAATAAATAACATTATATGCAAATTCAAAAAATTTTCTTATTTTCCAATCACGCATTTTCTATCGTAACATTATTTCAAAATGCATTAAAAAAAAAGGACTCAAACGATCCATAAAATCAAATTTTTGGTAGATCTTGATAGAAGTAGATGAAATATGTGGATTTAAAATTGTGAAATTCATAAAATATGTGATTAAAATTAATTGTTGATTTTAACTTAGATTAAAATTTATATACCAAATAGGGGCTTAATATAATTATAAAAAATCTAACACAAACAACTAAGCCCCAAAATTTGAAGAGGAAATTAAGAAAATGTCAAATTTCAACCTGCAATACAAATTATAAGTAAAGATTTGGCAAACAGAATGACAATGCAATAGCAAAGAAGTTTTTTTTTTTTTTTTTTTTCATTTCAGTCGGAACAACCCAAATATATGCTGTCAAAGCAACCTCTTTGCAAGAAGCAGCTATTGCTGATTCCTATAGGTTTCGAATTCTAAACGGCCATTCAGTTAAGCAGACGTCAGCAATAATACACTACAAAAAAAAAAAAAAATTGTCCCGTGTCACTATAGAAACAACATCAT